TCTGCGAATACACAGGTCACAGGTTCAATTCTCGGGATCTATACAGATACTGTACATAGGTAGGGTGAGGTCTAGGGATCGAACCCTGGGTACTGCATCCGCTACTGCTAAAAGGTGAAAACCGTTTCAGAGAGGAGGGGATGAAAGCAAAAAAATGGAAAAAGTGAAAAGAAAAGGACAATCCGCAAAAAAGGAAAAGGAAAAGGATATCAGGGAGAAACGAAACAGGACAAAACGAAAGGGATGTGTAAACAAAAGAAAAAAATAGAAGAAAAGACAGCCAGACGAACGGGGGAGCGGAGCCTGATCGGCCTGTCTCTCGGACTGGCAACCCAATGGTCAGCAGAATACTGACACTCTGTGGCGAACCCACCGGGTGAGGTGCTCCGCCTGGGATAGAGATGGAGATGGAGGATGAGGGTGGAGCAAGATGGCACAGCGCAGCTCGCACGCAGACTCCAACACACGTACTCCAAACTATGCGAATGTAGAATGATCCAAAGTACAGACTCTGACTGGGGTATACCCCAGTGGACTGACTGGACTGGACTGGACTGGCTGGTACCGACAGAGGTACCGGCCTGGACCGAACTACCCCAAATACAACACAGGCCTGTGAGAACAGGCCAAGGGGCTGGTATCACAGGCCAACCAGAGGTCCGCTACACACTCCCCCCTTTTTTTGTGTGTGCGTGTCCGTCTATAAAACGGGAGAGGCACATTGTCTCATTCACCACTTGGTTCTCGATCCGCCGTGTGATCAGAGACGTCGTGGGGGGTGCGTGCGGAAGGTGCTAGCCCCAGTGGCTACCCCTGTCCTTTCGGGTACCTCAAAGGTTTCAGAAAAATCCGAAAAAAAAACAAAAATGCAGAAAAGGATCATGGCAGACATTATTTTCCTTGAACTCCTCCATGTCGTGTATGCAAAATGACTTGTCCTATGAGTAGGACCAGGTGCGCGAGCTGCACAGCCCTGAGTTGTAGGGTTCTTCAATCATTTTTTAATGTATGAAATTGGGAGCCGATCCGTGTCCCATAACTTTCGTATGGAAGGGATATGTGTTTCTTTTAGATGTGAATTGTCATTTACTCATTCATGCGATGCTTTCGCCCTGATAGGATCATCCTGATGACGAGGAAGACCGGTTTCACTCATTATGTATAGGAGAAATTCTCTTTTCATGTTTTCTGCTTATTCTTCTTCTGTCTCTTTTCTTTCTTCATATAATCAGCATGGCCTTACCCATTATCGTGTGCCTGCCTTCTGTCCGGCTTGTTCTCCCCTTTCCCGCGATGATCCCTGTATGTGTGTGTGTGTGTGTGTGTGTGTGTGTGTGTGTGTGTGTGTGTGTGTGTGTGTGTGTACCTGAACCAGCCAGCACACAGCTTGTGAAAGTTGGACCCTGAAATAAGTGACACTTTGACTCTGCACAAAGCAGGTCCCGCTCCCCACCAATAGATGGAGCCTAAGAAGCTGAGCAGGGAAGACCTAAAACTATGGGGTCGCGCTCGGGTGGCAGGCAGCTCACAAATCTCAGTTAGAAAAAAGAAGTCAAACTTTGACTTTGACTCTTGATCTGGGTCTTGCTCCACACCACATGATGGTGAAAAACTGCGTACACTTTTTGTACAAGGTCCCAACGTTCCTTGAACTTCCCCTATGGTGCAATAAAAACAATAGATCATTTTTTTTTTTCAGAAGGTTTCATCTTTCAGCTGATTCGTTACGCACATGTGCTGTACTTAAGGTTGCTTACATTTACTCGGGTTGTTTTCACATTCCCACTTTTCCTGTCCCAGGCTGAATGGTCAATCAACATTGGTGAACCTGCCATAGACATCCGTGTTGCTCGGTTTTGCAAGTGCCTTACAACAACACAAATTGACATCATTGCCTTAGGTGAGTGTTGATGCATGGTTTTCAATTCTGGAACAATGGATGGAAAATGTTGGAGGTTGATTGGTAGACAGGACTTGCAGAAGACAAAACAAGTCACGCACAGCAGATCCTTTAAGATCTATCTTACGGAGATCAACGCCAGTAGTCTCAAAGTACAAAAGCACAAAGCCCTTACTCATCCACACTTTGTTCATAGGCCCAACAGCAGGCCAACAGCATATAGCAAAATCTAGGCGTCAGTCCAAATGATTATTCTTGGCAACCAATAAATGAGCAAATGTCATTTTTTTGACTCTTGAGGTTACATGGTTTGTACTCTGCGGCACGAGCAGCAAGCTATTCTCTGTCTGCCTGCCTGTCTGCCTACCTGCCTGCCTGCCTGCGTGTTCATCCATGCATCTGTCTGTCCATGACATTGTCCATCTGTCTCTCTGCTTGTTATTCCCACGGTCTAGCTGGCCGCCTCCCAACTTGCCAGTGTGCCTGTCTGCCTGTCTGCCTGTCTGCTCGCCTGCTCTCTCTCTCTCTCTCTCTCTCTCTCTCTCTCTCTCTC